AAATTGAATGTCCTAAGATACTGGATTTATTGAAATTTAATGTTCCAGGAAGGCTACTTCGAAACAATAATGTTTTCTATACTGATCCATAACTAACAACTTTAGTACGTCTGTTGATCTTTTTCATGAATCAACTTCGGCATTCAAAAATTCAGTTGTAATAATTTTGCGTATGTGTAATCTAGCTAAACATGGTACATAATGATACGCTGTGATTGTCTCCATTTCTTCTAACTGTTATTATATTGCATTTGATATTAAGGGCATATTGCACGTAAATAAAGTATTATTATTATTATTATTATTATTATTAGGGTATTCAACGTGCCAAAAAAACCTTTCGAATTAATATTACTATAGCTAAAAGTAGATTTTTATACCGTATCAAAAATATACGAACACTTGTTAAAACAAGAATTTTATTACGTTTCATATCAACTTCATTTCATTCCTTGAATCTTACCTTGTCCACACTTGCCTTAAGATTAGCTCAAGGTGCCACTCTACGTACAAAACAATCAATCGAATTACTTTAAATTAGCGATTCTCGTATTTGAAGAAGTTACGTTCATTTTACGTAACGTCCAGTACGTTCTGTATGAATAAAATACTTTACAATTGCTCCAACATAAAATAGACTTAAATCTTGTTCCCAATACATTAATCGCATTAGCTTAGCTTTTATGAAAATGAAATTATTTTATGAAAATTCACATGTTAAATCATATATTAATAATGTATATTTATTTATTTTTATGGAATTCTATTCATTATACGATTTGAACTTTCCATACATTTTTTTCACATTCAAATTCGCTATAAATGCATAAAAATCCGCAGTCTACTCATAGGTATGCACACGAATATTAGTCTGACAGTCCACGTGATATGTACATACACTCTCGCTAAAAGTATGTAGACACTTCCTTAATAGAAATAAATATCTAATAAATACTTGCGAATCTATTAATATCAATCATATCATTTATGTTTCGATTTATGTTGCATTAGGGACTATATTTTATTAATAGATTTTTTTTTAATATCACATCAGTAATGGTAAAAAATTATAGAGATAACTAGATAATGTTAAAATTTCTTTTATCAAACTTGGATACTATTAGTTTCTTCATTATATCCGAAGTAATATTATCTCATTTATTTTGTAATATTTCGCCATATTGAACATTCTTTCTGAACTTTTCTATCTAAACGATTCGATAGTTCCACTATAAAATTGAATATGGCACTCACAATACACATTCAATATAGAATTTAGGAACAAAAGTTGTATAGTAATAATTTACGGTGTATAGTAATTATTCATTGAAGATAGTAAGTGTCCACGTATATTTGAACGAGGCTGTACCTACATACTCGAGTTATTTCAACATGCAAGTCTTTAATAAGTATGATAAAACTTAATAAAAATTAGTTGCGCTTACAGAACAAAATGCTTATTTTTAACAACCTCTGCACTACATTGACGATACATAATAAAATAATATTTTTTTATCGTAAATCATTTAAAAACAAAGTATCTTGCTCGTTCCCTTTTTTCTCTGCTTTTTTAGTTTTCCTTCGCTGATTGGTGGCAGCCTAGAAGTCACCAGCGACGTACGCACGCGTATAACTGCGATAGAAATATTCCTGTATAAATCACAGACAAAACGGAGGCTTATTTTTAGTTACCTATACACTTCCCTGATGGTATATTTAGACAATTTCACGCTCTGAAAAAGTACGCTCGACAGAATTTTTTGCATATCTTTGAACGTTTCATAGATCATAGGTGCAATTAAATACCAAACTCAGGAAGTTACGTAAACTTCTTACGTTTAATACTTAATTGCGCTGATAACTATATCGGCGCTATTATACCGGTTATCGCATCTTGTTATTGTAAAGTTAGTTTCTGCGAACGCTTAACCAATTTGCAAGCAGAAATGAACATTTTACTCGAATAATAGATGAAGAATAAAAATACAGTAAAATGATATATCCGCAACCTTTATTCGATTTAACAGTTATACGGATATCTTTTTATTCGTCCAATAGAAACTACAATTTCATTTCATAATTCAAATTATGTATTAAACGAAGAAATTATAGAAATATTGTTCGTCTTTCATTTGTTATTCGAGATTCGTACCTAAGTAGATCAGAATTTTGTCTATATTTGATTTGAAGGTGATCTTATCAAATTATTTTTAAAAAATCACTTTTGTTATACAAAAAGATACTTCTACTCATTGTACTCATCTTCTAAACAGAAGTAAAGAATTTAAAATAAAATATAGCCGATTTGTTACTTTAAACTATGCTGTATGTTACAGTAGAAGACATTGAAACATTACAATAAACAGAAAGTGAAAATTCGTATCTATAATGGTAAGAATACCTACAAATGTAAGACTACAAAAAGTCTATATTACTACTGGATAGCAATTTAATAAAGTAATGGACACGTGATTATAGTAGCAGTCAACAATATAGTTTATCAGAGTTCATTTGAAATTATGTTTTATAATTATTTACTTCTTAAGGTATCTTTTTTAAACTTATTTGTGCATTTAATTTACAGATATTCAGAATTTTTCAATATCTTCTGACTCATATACTCAATCTAAGACGTATGCAGAGTTGAATAAAATTAATGACTCTAAGTTGTTTCTCTCTTAACATCGAAAAATGTCAGTAACAAAATTCGCTCTAGTTTTATGGTTGTTCGATAACCATTTCTGTAAAGTTTCATAACAGTCAGAGGTATATCAATTTGTTTCTTAACTTATTAGCGAGCGACTCGACTAAATCGTATATTTATATATTCTCGGTCCTTCGAAAACATCTCTACACAATAAAGAAGAGAAAAATATCTTTTGTATAAAATGTTGCAAATTTGTTTTAAAACGCTGCACAAAAATTGCAGAAACTGTCATTTTAGTCAGTCCCTCTGATGGTGTCGTCCGTTGTTCGCATCTCCCGCACCCTTGTAGTGGCGCAACTGCCTTTAGTATCGTTAAAAACGTTGAAAAATATCGATAATTCGGTGAAGAAGCGAAGTAAAACAAAGTATCTACCCGGATGGATCGATTAAAGTGTGTAGATGCAACGAGAACCATCCGAAGTTAACGTCGAAACGCAAAGAAAGTAATGCGGAGTAACGATCGGCAGAATTGAACGTAAGAGGATTCGAATGTGGCGCAATTGTAGCGGTTGGAAGACCGTTTCCCGCCGTTGGGAAGAATGGGAAATCAATAATAGTTACCGGCCTTACCGACTTTGCGATGACGAAGACCCTAAACCGTGCTGCCTCTCGCTTCAACTAAACCGTGTATCTCTATCGCGCCCACGGAAAATTCACGAACGCAGTCCCCATCTTTGCTGAATCGCAGCGCCGCACGTCCGCCATTGGCCAACCGCCGTCGCCTCCTTCGCCGCCGCCATGATAGATTCCGTTGTGTGTGACCGAGTCCCGCTCTCTACAGTTTCCTGAAGAAAACTCCGTTTCTCCGCGACGTCAAAAGCGTAATATATCAGCGACGAGTTCCAAACGAGCGAGGAACGCGTAAAAATGAAAACGTACAGTAGGAAAAAAGGTGATAGCTCGAGCAATGTAATAATTCATGTGAACGAGCTGTGCCGACTGTGCTTGGCAAAGGAGGAGGAGATGGTGCCGATTTTCGTCGACGAAACAGTCCCTTTATCTCTTCGAATAATGGCCTGCATTAATTTAGAGGTGAGTACGAACGTTTAGAACAGCATGCATGCGGTAGAGTTCGGTCCGAGAGGCATCGGTTGTCCGTCTCTCTTACGTATATTGATAGCTTAACGAAAAATAGGAATCTAGTTTATCTCTGTGCGTGTATTCTGTCTCTTTCTCCTTCTCCACTCTTCGATTTTCACTCGTATGAGAGCGTCACTCACACATATACGACTGCTCAACCGTGGGCTCGGTGTAACGAGCGGGCACACTCCCTAAAGCAACTACCGGCTTTACCGAGTTATCGACTTTGTGTGTTCGCAATACGTTGACGCCACCTTCTTCTCTTTCATTACAGGAATCTAGACGAGACATATCATTGCCTTACAGATCGTTTACCCTGTGAATTTATAGAAATCTGCAATACACCGAGTCCTCGAGCTTACGCGGTTCATTCGTTCCACAGCTTTCTGCGTAAATCGAATTATATGTAGAAGTATGATGTATGTAGGGAGAAAGAAAAATCAGTCATGGGTTGAAAATATCGTGGTACCCCATTACTAAGGGAAATGTAGACAGTATTCAGTAATATCTATTTAAAAGGCAATTCTAATATTTTAGGTATAGTCGATGGAAGAGATCTTGTATGAGCATACACTCAAACAGTAGTTATTATTTTACTGGTACAGGTAACTGATTCCTAGGACGACGGGGGTGTGTACGCGGCTCGCGCCAAGATTTAAAAATTCGTTCAAAAATCATCGCATCATAAACCTGTCGGCACAATTACGATTTCCGTAGCCTTACAATTTAACCGTGTTTTTATTTAACATAATTTATCAGAAAAGTAATGCCGCAAAACTGTAATTCTCTATCGTAATTCTCTATCTCTATTCGTTTAGTTTAGAAGTTATATTCATATAAAGTAATAGTAAAGTACATAGTTATATTTATTTAAAAAAAATTCCAATCTACTGATAAATTAGATTAATCTAAGTAACATTAGTCAGTACCAATAGGAATTACTAGTTATATTGGGTCAAACATTTTAATCAGCTTTTGAAAAATTACCAGATACTATCCACATTTCCCTTTGGTGATGGTACCACATTATTCTTGACCCAGTTTAACTTTCATCTCTTTTATGTCTTATGTATGTATTTATATTTAAAACTTCATTTAACTATGAGCATAATTACAATAGTTATAATTTTATGCAGAGTAGCGTAATAGTACTATTTCCAAAGAATTATTATAAATAGATTTTTGTATAATACGAATATTGTAACAAGTACAAGCAAATAAGATTTTAATGAAATATCTTCTGTATATAGAATTATTTGTAAAATAAAAATATATAATCATTTACTATTATAGGTTTACGAAGAAGATGGTCTCCCAAATATGATTTGTCATCCATGCAAGTACCAGTTAGAAAAATCTTATCAGTTTAAGAAGAAATGCGAAGCTGCAGATGCTAAGCTTCGAAAGCACATGAAATTAATACAGCAATTAACTGGTCAAGATGGTGAAGGAGAAAATCAGGACAATAACAGAGAAGAATTGAAGGATTCATCCAATACTGGGAAATCTAAACAAGTTAAACAACTATTGGCTGACTTGGTATCAATTAAAGATGACAGTAGACAGACAGATGGGGACCCAATTGAAGTTACAGAGGCAGAACTTGTTGGTGGTTATATTTTAGGTGCATATAATTCTTGTTACATACAATTAAAATACAACTTTATTTGCTTTATATTTTTCACTCTATTAATTACGTATTTTACAAATTGTAGGGATGAATTCTGAAAACGTGGAAATGGAAGAAACTTTATCGGTAGATCCAGCAAACATAACGCTAGTACCAGCTGAAGAACGTACTGCCAAAGCACGTTGCACAATACGAACATCGCGTATTAAACAAGAACAAGATACCGATGATGAAGCAGACGAGGTACATAGAGCAATTGCGAACGCTGATTTAAAAAATGTTTATATGATGGAACTTAAAAGCAATAGCACTGGTCAAGGAGAATCATTGAAGTTGCAACCAATGGCTGATACTATAGGCAAGTGACATATGAAATTTGTATGGAAATACAACTACTGTAAATAAAATATTCTAACAAATAGTTCCCTTTACAGTTGAAGCTAACGAAGAGTTAAAGGTATTTCAATGCGATAAATGTCCGAAAGCGTTTACCCGAAGAATAATGTTGAAAAGTCATCAATCAGTTCACTCAACGCAAAGAGGCTTTACATGTCAAGCTTGTGAAAAATGGTTCCCCACAAGATCAGCTTTAGTCAGACACGAACGTACTCATACAGGTAAATTAAAAAAAGATTTAAAAATAAATGTAATATTAAAAAAGTTGAATAGAAACGAAAAACCCACGATTTTTATAGGTGAAAAACCATTTGGTTGCAATATTTGTCATCGCGCATTTGCGCAAAAAGAAATTTTACTTCGTCATCTAATGACTCATTCTGGTCAAAAACCATTCCAATGTCAACATTGTGAAAAGAGTTTTACTCAACGCGAGGCTTTGAAAGTACATATGCGAAGACATCAGAAATTAGACCCCAATGATATCCAATTGCATCATTGTCAACTTTGTCCCAAAGCATTTTGTCATGCGTCTGGGCTCAGTAGACATTTGGTTACACATACTGGAAGAACGTACAAGTGCGTGGAATGTGAAAAATCTTTTACCGATAAAAGTTCGCTCTTAAGGCATAGTCGTATCCATGCACCTAAGCAGATAATGACAAATTAAATGTATTCAGTAATTCCAGATCAGCATCACAATATCAATCGACGTTAGACTAATATTTACAAGATATTTTCAGTGTATTATTAACACGTTCGCTGTTGTGCCTTTATTTGTTATAAGCAGGATAGCGGCTTCTCACAACGCCTCACCTGCACAAACTACGGATATTCTTTTTTCTAATACTTCATTTTATAAATTTATTTTTCACCGGATTATTCATATAAAAACTACTTGTCGTATCGAAGGAAGAAGATGATTGATGCAAGCATAGTTTAAATAATGATACATTTAATTTAACTCTAATTTGAGCTTTTTTGTTCAAATTGACATTAGTTATAAATATAACAAAAGGGGGGGGGGGGGAGAGAGAGAGTTTCTGAAAATAATATATCGAGTTAATTACTATAAGTAATGTTAAAAAGTAGAAATACAATATTAAAGTTATAATACATAAATTAAAAAAAAAAGAAATGTAATTAATGTAAAATTAAATTTTGTTCTCATTTTATGTTTCAAATATTATGAAAATTTTTTGAACTTATAACGAAGAAGACCCAAATTGGAACCGAAATGTTTAAATATGATATCATTGTTTCAACTTTGCTTATGTTAATCTGTTTTTATCCAATTTTGTCCTTGTCACTCCGATATTATTTAAATATCTACTTGTGAAGAAAATAAGGATTGCGTGTAAAAAAGATATTTACACGAGTTAAGTGAATTTAAACATGTCTTTAAATTGATGTATATTTGTTTCAAACACCCGCTATAAAATTACTCTTTGTCGCGAACAAATTCTTTCATAAGAAGTTGCTATAGTTTCTACATTAACTTGATACAACCCAATATTTCTTTCACTCTTTCTCTTATTAACATATATGTGAGTGTTGGTTATGCGTGACCGTAGCATGCAAACGTAAGGATTCAACTACAGGAACGTCTTCGTCAACATTACTATCGATATCGATGTCGGTAGCAAAATGCCATAGACAAGGATCTCTATGACTCCGATTTAGAACATACGAAAAACAGTAATAGAGATTGAGGTATATTCAGTAATCAAGAGTTTCAAAGTCTTCTTACTTCAGTACTTTGAAGAATAGTTAACTTTAGGTATAATAAAAAATTGTAAACAAAATCATCTTGTTTTCAGGAAATATACTAAAGAAAATTGTTCATTCTTGTAACTTTTAAAATTAGAAAACTCCTTCATTGCATCTCACGTGGACTTAATAGTGATAGAGATCCTCAGCCAAGATGCCTTGCTACCAACATTGTTAATGTCAGTACATTGAAATAAATATTTAACAATAACATGTAATATCGTTACTTATCAGTGCTCTAATACCTTTGTATTCCATTTCTTATTATTATCTATAAGACGGCATCATGCTGATCAATGCAATTTTTTAATACTAAGAATTAGATGCTTGATAAATATTACTTCTACTTCTATTATTCCATTCGTTTTTAAGTTGTCAATAAACAAAGTTTTAATACCTACAACTTTTTCTAAGGATAAACGTCCTTGGAAGAAGGAAATTGTAAATACTAAAAAGCAAAACAAATGAGATGTCATTTTTGTACTATTGAAAAGGCTAATAGTATTGTTTGTAGAATGTGTTTAAAGGATTGCAGTAACTCGAAAAAATTAAAATCATTTTCATTGACATTGATTTTTAATAACTTTGTGAGTATCATTCAATGACAATATATCTGTATAAAGATATTGTTAATGGATTGATCCTTAAGAAATAATCCTAAAAAACTCATGTTTGAGCTTATTTTCTTTAGGAAAATGCCATTGATTCATCGAATGAAAAATGGTGTGCTCTTTATATTATATTTGCATAACATGGTCACATTTAACACACTTATGTATGTATTAATAAAAAGTAGAGTGAGGCAAATACTTAGTTCTGAAAAAAATGCTATACACAATCAAGTTGGTGTGAAAACTTAAATATTTTTGTAATAGAAAAAAGTTTGTGACTTATAGAGTTCCTGTTAAACTTTTATATCCTTGCAAAGTAGAATATGTGAAATTTTGTGACAGGTTTTTTTTAAACAAGTATCCTTAAAAGAAGTGATAAATATTTTGTCTACATTCTGCGCATCATTAATATTTAGAGAGTTAACAGAGATGCTACAGCGAACATGTTAAGTGTTTATAATATACATTTTTTAATTTTTTAATCTAGTTTATAATATAATGCATCTAATGATAATCATACACTAACAATTTGTTCGATAATTCCAAGTATATCTCTATACATTTATATGTGTATACTTCATTTCTGTTTTATGCATATCATCCACATAAAATTTTGTTTATGCAAATGTGCAATAAGATGATTATTTATGTATCTAACGTAGTGTATCGTACATAACATAGTGCTACGTTACGTTTAAATGACACATTTTATTAACATTACAAATTAGCGATAATATTCTTCTAGCAAAACATTTTTTTTTAAAAAAGGTTACTAACTTTTAAACCTTACAGTGTTTGTTTAAACAAGTAAAACAAGTTTTAATATTCAATTTATGTGAATTCTAAAGAGTTTATAATTCTTTTTTTAAAACATCCTGTATATATTTTCGCGATGTTTATACTGTATACAGCTCTATCTACTTTTTGTGCGTATAAATTTACATATACATATAAGGATTTCGATCCTTTTAAATTGTTATGATTAGTCTGAATGAAATTTGTAAAACGAAACAAATAATTACTTGTAACATACTATTATTACTAATAATAATAATAGTAATAATTCTATTATATTTAAATACGAAGACTATTGGCGAAAACAAGAATGTTCAAAAATACTTATTTTGTACATCTGGTATTGTGATTTGGAAGTCAAAATGGGTTGATACTTAAATGAGGGAAACGAACCGTAAACATAGTGAACAATTCTATTATTGAAATTACACTAACTAAAATAAATGTAGTGGTATAAAAATATGTAGAGAACATTTTTTAAAGATATTTTTACTTGCTAGCATGTGGACTTGTTTTCACTGGTACTTCAACAATTAAAATTACTTTTCACCGATCCTTGTTTTCCTCTGACAGTCTTCGTGTGGTATTGTCTTTTTTAATCGCATGTTATTAATTTTAAAGACGTGTAAAAAGTAACAGAATATATTTTAATGAAAAATACCATTTAAACAATTTTTTTGTATCCTTAATCCCAACCAATCGAATGATATGATTTGAAATTACAAACCTTTTGAACTGCGTCTGAACTTTCCCTAATTTACTTCCTTTAGCCATTGAAAACAATTTAAAGTAGCTGCTTTATATAAATAAAGAGCACGCGTATGTGCTCCTTCACTTTAATTAGCACAGGAAACTTACAAGGCACCACAAACTTTGTTTCTACCCAACTTTGTTTCAATGCTTGCTATATGTGATAACGTTCCATTTTTATGCAACAGAGAAAATATATGAAACAATTAAAATTCTTGGACTTCAACAATATGCATTGATGTGCATTCTATAATCTTATCTTTGAAAACATTGAACATATCAGCTTTAAGTTCATTTTACAGAACCTTAGTTACAGAAAGCATTAAAGAGTTTGAGAATCTGAGATTTGGCGTGATATGTATATAATAATTTGTATTATTTACAAAATAAATATCTCAGTTCTTGACATATGTTTATTCATTAATTTTATTGATCATGTTCTGTGACCTGATTTATTGACTGCATGTAAAAGCAAATATTTAAGAAGCCTAACTCTGATAAACATATTACACCGATACTTTAATTTAATAATCTTGCCCCTACTGTTTTACAATTAATAAACGTAATAATATTAGTCATATTGTTCCAAAATTAGGATATTCATACTACATAAATTGCTCGATCACGTCATATCAACCTAAACCATTGAATCTTTAATCTAACCTAATTAATGTAATTCAGATAAATATCCTGTAAGATAAATGATCTGTATTATAATAGATATACAATTTAGGTTAAGAAAGAGCTAATAAAGTTGTCCTAATAAGTGATGAATCGGTTTTGTAGCTACATGAAAGAATAAGTGATTGGAAATCGATTGTAAACATCTATCGAAGTTAGTAAGGTTACTAAACGTAAACAAGTTTGTCCCTTGCTTTTACATGAACAAAAGAAAATAATCTCGGAAATTTTGTACAGACAAGAGTAATAATATATATTGTATATCATACATATTGATACTTTTCACTTTCCAATTTCTATTTCCGTTCAAAAAGACCGCGTATGATATTGCAAAGTGACAGCCAATCACGTTTAACGTTTCTTTGGAACTTTTAAATACTGAAATTTCATTGGCCGAGTACCCACAACCCAATGTAATGCGCAGAAGAACGACGTCGAGAACGAGACGTTCTACGTTCGGCGGCAATTGGAGAGAGCAGACGTGTGGCGTCGATCGGTGATCCGACAATCAATAGGTACGCATAATTCAATTGAATTAATATCTAATCGTTGCTATTTCTACCTTGGGTTACTTCTTACCGTCTCTTTAATATATTAATACTATTCCTTGTTAATTGAATCGGTTTTTTGAGAAAATTAGATCGATTTTGTACTTTCGTCATTTTCGTTCTCCATGAGGTACCAATTGATATTCGTTCGAACATTAATTCGTACTGGGGGAGTACGTCTTCCAGAGTAATATTATCGTTTCTCTTCCGGTTTTCCAAGTTAATTTATTGCTTGGATACAGTAAAAATATATATTTATCGTAACTTGGTCTCAATTTCGAATTCTTGAATGTTCCAAGATCTGACGCCACGAGTCTGCGTGATGATCGCCAACCGCTATTTCACGTTCAAATGGTTACTTCACGTTGAAAATTTCGATCAAAATTTGTGGTCATCAGAACGCCAGAAAAATTGTGCAGCTTACCGGAGAAAGCAGAATAATAGGTAATACTGTCTTTAATTAGTGTCATTAGTAGATTAAATTGATTATCAATTATAAATTTACAGTTCTTTATTCATTCTTTAAAAAATAATGACGTTAAACATTTTGGCCATTTTGACCATAAAGAAATAATATTTATGTATTAATTACAATTGCAATTCAAATAACGTAAATTCAAACTTTATTAGGTCATTATGAATATAGAATAAAATTGTACAAATTTGTAGAATTATACAATTTATATCTCCCTAACAAAAGTATCTAAATATTGAACAAATGTTTAAGATTTTATCTTTTATGTTTCTAACATATTTGCAATGACTTGTAAATATATGTAATATCGATACTTTTCACTTTTCAATTTCTATTTCCGTTCAAAGAGACCGCGCATGATATTGAAGAGTGACAACCAATCACGTTTAACGTTACTTTGGAAATTCTTAAATCCTCAATTTTCATTGGCCGAGCACCCACAACCCCCTACGGGGAAGCAGGAAGCCGAGAAGAAGACGTCCTTTCGCTCGGGCGGTGATTGAAGAGAACAGACGTGTCGTGTCGATCGATGATCCGGCAAATTAATAGGTACGCATAATTCAATTTAATCAATATCTAATCGTTGCTATTTCTGCCTTGGGTTACTTCTTACCGCCTCTTTAATATATTAATACCATTCCTTGTTAATTGAATCGGTTTTTTGAGAAAATTAGATCGATTTCGCACTTTCGTCATTTTCGTTCTCCATGAGGTACCAATTGATATTCGTTCGAACATCAATTCGTACGGGGGAGTACGTCTTCCAGAGTAATATTATCGTTTCCTTTCCGGTTTTCCAAGTTAATTTATTGCTTGGATACAGTAAAAATATATATTTATCGTAACTTGGTCTCAATTTCGAATTCTTGAATGTTCCAAGATCTGACGCCACGAGTCTGCGTGATGATCGCCAACCGCTATTTCACGTTCAAATGGTTACTTCACGTTGAAAATTTCGATCAAAATTTGTGGTCACCAGAACGCCAGAAAAATTGTGCAGCTTACCGGGGAAAGCAGAATAATAGGTAATACTGTCTTTAATTAGTGTCATTAGTAGATTAAATTGATTATCTTTCCTTTTATTTCATTACTATTTCTGCTTAATAATTACGAAACCATTTTTACTCCATTTCTTTACAGTTACCAATTTATTAGTTGTTTCATAAAGACTATTAATTACAATTTCGATAGCAATATTAAAATTGTAATTAATAGTCTTTATGAAACAACTAATAAATTGGTAACCGTAAAGAAATGGAGTAAAAATGGTTTCGTAATTAAAATTAACGATTATGAAATATAATTGTTAATTTTAATTAACAGTTACATGTACAATATTTGATCGATAATTCAGTTACATTATCCCCTACATTTTTTACATATAATTGCTATTACCTGATAACAATGATAAATTTACAGTCTTTTTCTTTCATTTTTTTTAAAATAATGGTGTTAAACATTTTGGCCATTTTGACCATAAACAAATAATATTTATGTATTAATTACAATTGCAATTCAAATAACGTAAATTCAAACTTTATTAGGTCATTATGAATATAGAATAAGATTGTACAAATTTGTAGAATTATACAATTTATATCTATATCTATATCCCTAACAAAAGTATCTAAATATTGAACAAATGTTTAAGATTTTATCTTTTATGTTTCTAACATATTTGCAATGACTTATAAATATATGTATCATGAAACATAAAAAGTAAAATCTTAAACATTCTTCCAATAATTAGATTCTTTTGTTAGGCACAAATTGCATAATTTTTGAGATGTACTATGTTATCTTACATTCATTATAAATTGATAAATTTTATGAGTCAAAGCACTTTTACTATGGTACGCTACATTTTTTAGAAACTGTCAACTTCTACGATGATATACATTTTCATAATTTCTTACTAATTTAACGAAACAGAGAAAAGATACCTAGGTATCTAAATGCTGAAAAAATATTTAAGTTTGCATTTTCTCTGTTCCATTAGATTATTAATAATTTCTTAATTAAGAAATTATGAAAATGTATATCATTGTAGAAGTTGACAGTTTCTAGAGAATGTAGCGTAGCATAGTAAAAGTGCTTTGATTCATAAAATTGATCAATTTATAAGGAATGCAAGAAGAACTGTAAATTTGCAAAATTTTACAATTTTTATATGTATAATGAAGCTTAGATACTTTTGTTATACATATAAAAATTGTATGATTTTGCAAATTTAATGTTTTAATATTGTAACTACTGTAACTTTTGAAACATGTTATTAATTCATGTAACTTTTGTTGCAGATTTTATACATCATCAAAAAAATGTACGACGTAGATAAAGCAGAGCTACTGCGATTTCGACGTGGATGATGCAGAGTTGTTCCGACGATCAGCGACAGCACAGCTACTCCGATGATCAGCGACAGCAGAGCCAGTACATAGCCCTTTATCAAGACAACGGTTGGTGAGTCGCATGCATTTCTGTTCCTCTGGTCCCCGATCATGTCGTAGGACAAAAGGTCCGAATCGGCACGGGTGACTAGTTGTATACTTGGTCTTTGGCGAGTGAAGTGACCACGGGTATGCATTGCTTAGCATACTCGTGAATAGTAACATTTCTTGTTTTATTTATTTGTTTAGACTAGGGTCTTCTTGTACTTCGCGTTTTATATTAATAACATAATAAATATTTCTTGATACGAACTCCGATAATCGAAGATATAGTAGTTTTTATTTTACAATATTATTAAAATCAAATCATATCATAAAAATGATAATATTGAATTAAAATTTAACATATACTGTATTATTCAGTATATATATTATTGAATGATTTTATCTTCTTCTATGTTTTTGAAAATATGTACAAGAAGGACGTTTCGCGATAAGTCGATTCCTGCGTTAAAGTAACATGATTTGCATCTTTTTATAATTAGAATGTATACTTTTACAAGGGAATCACTTTAGTAGGTCAATGTGAATATTAAATTTTCAATATAAATTATACTATTGCAAAAACTTATATATCACATTTTTTCATAAATAATTCAATTCTTATTAAAGTCATTTTATTGATAATTAAATTGTTCAATATTAATAAATTCTATAAATTAAAATTCGAGTCATTTTTACTGAAAATAAAATAACGCAGAAGGATGCGATACTAGACCGCTTAGATTTACTAATTATTGTTTTTAGTGAGGAT